CCTCTTGGGGTGACTGAGGCTTGTGGGGGTGCACCCCCCCCGCGCTGCCCAGGGACACGGGCCGGACTCACGTTGGATTTTGCTTTAATTACAAAAAAAGGTCATGTCACCAGTAGGAAACCCCCCCGTCCCSCCCACCTCGTCCCTGGGGGCACCCAGCGGTCCCCAGCCCCCCCCAACATTCCCAAAACAGCCTGCGCTGGGTGCTGCCCCCCCTGGGGCCCCCGAGCCTCCCCCCCAGCGGGGGGCACCCAAAATACTGCACAGCAGGAGAGGCTCCGACATCCCTGACACCCCCTTGCCACGMCTGCCCCAGCACGGCCAAGGAAGGGTTAACGCCCCCCCCGCTGCCATGTGCCCACCCCGGCACCCCCGGGCGGGGGGGGTCAGCACCTGGTGAGCAGGGTGGGGTGGGCTTTTTTTGTATTTTTCACATATTTTTTAAATAAAAGCCTCCAGCGGCCCCCTCGCTGCTGAAAACTCCGGGGCTCTTTGCCCCCAAACCCGCTGCCTCCGGTGACACCCACTGGTGACACCCCGATGGCGGGGGGGCCACCGCAGCCCAACCCGCATCCTACAGAGTGTGGGGGCTTCATCCTGCACCGGGGCACCCCGACCCCCCCCAAACTCCCCCTAGGAGGAAGGGGCTGCAAAGTGCAATGGGGGCGGCTGCATCGCGCCCCGATCCCGGCGCTGGCGGGCGGCACCGCGGGGGCGCCCCCGCTGCCCGCTCCCCGTTAGATGGAGGTCTCGTCGCTCCTGTCGTTTTGGGGAGGGGGGACGGGGTGGGTCATGATGGGGAGGGGGACGAGACAGACGGATGCGTGTTCACGAGCGGGCCGGGGGCACCCGCACACACAGATGGGGTGGGCGGCCCGGGGCGGGAAGCAGGAGGACCCCCACCCCGCACACACAAATGTCCCCCCAGGTGTTAATGGAGAAAATTGAAAAACAGAAACCTGAGCGGGGACGAGGAGGGGACGGAGAGGAGAGAAGAGGAAGGGTTAGTGCCCCGGGCGCCGCGGAGACGGCCGGTGCGTCCCCGCCGCCCGCTGCCCCCCGGCCACTCACTCGGAGCCGGACGAGTCCTCGTCCACGGTGCCGGCCTTGATGCTCATGGCGACGGGCGCCGCGGCGCCCAGCTGCTGCTGCAGGCCCTGCCGCGGCA